AAAACTTACCACAAAGAAAATACCAGGAGCAGAAGTCTTCGCTGGTGAATTCCACCAAACGTTTAAAGAATCACACCAATTCTTCTCAAACTTTTCCAAAAAATAAAAGAGGGAACACTTCCCAACTTATTCTATGAGACCAATATTACCCTGTTACCAAATCTATATAAAGACATCACAAGAAAACCAATATCTCTTATGAATATAGAAGCAAAAATTCTCAAGAAAATACTATCAGACCAAATCTAGCACCATATAAAAAGGGTTATACATCATGACCAAGTGGATTTATCCCAAGAATGCAATGATGGTTGAATATATGAAAATTAATCAATGTAATATGCCATAGTTAATAGAACAAAGGACGAAAACCCACATGATTATCTCAATAGTTGCAGGAAAAGCATTCAAAAAATGAAATATTCTGTCATGACGAAAACACTCAACAAACTAGGAATAAAAGGGAACTTCTTCAATCTGATAAAGGGCACCTAGAAAAAACCCACAGCTAACATCATATTTAATAGTGAAAGACTGAATACTTTCCCCAAAGATCAGGAGTAAGACAAGGATGTCTGCTCTCATCACTTCTATTCAGAACTCTATTGGAGTTTCTAGATAGGGCAAGCAGACTAAAAGAAGAAATAAAAAGCATCCACACTAAAAAAGGAGAAGTAAAACCATCCCTATTTGTAGATGACATGATTTGGGATGTAAAAAACCCTAAGGAGTCCACCAAAAAACTATGAGAGCTAATAAATGAGTTCAACAGGATTGCAGAATACAAGATCAATATATTAAAATCCATTGTTTTTCTACACACTAGCAAGAACAATCCAAAATTGAAATTATAAATGCAATTCCATTTATAATATCTTAAAAAATACCTAGGAATAAACTTAACAAAGATGTGCAAGACTTGTACACTGAAAACTACAAAACATAGTGGAAAAAAGTTAAAGAAGACCCAAATAGATGGAAAGACATCCCATGTTCATGGATTGGAAGACTTAATATTGGTAAGATGACAGCACTCTCCAAATTGATCTACAGATTGAACACAACCTCTATCAAAATCCAAGCTGCCTTTTTTAGTGGGAATTGACAAGCTGATCTTAAAATTCATATGGAAATATATGGGACGCAGAATATCCAAAACAATTTTGAAAACGAGGAACAAAGCTGTAGGAGTCACATTTCCCAATTTCAAAACTTACTACAAAGCTACAGTGATCAAGACAGTATGGTACTTGCATAAAGACAGACATATTTATCAATGGAATAGAATTGAGAGTCCAGAAATAATCCCTTACATATATGGTCAATTGATTTTCAACAAGTGTGCCAGACTTTCATGGGGGAAAGGACAGTCTTTTCAACAAATGATGCTAGAAAGATTGATATCCCCTTTCAAAAGAATTAAGTTCGACCTTTATATCACACCGTATACAAATATTAACTCAAAATCAACCAGAGACATAAATGTCTGAGGTAAAACTATAAAACTCTAAGAAGAAAACAGGAGTAGATTTTTGTGGCCTTGATTAGGCAGTAGTTTTCTAGATAGGATGCCAAAAACATAAGCAACAAAAGAGAAAATAGATAAATTGGACTTGATCAAAATTCAGAACTTTTGTGTTCAAAGGACACCATCAAGAAAGCGAAAAAGACAACCTACAAAATGAGAGAAAATATTTATAAATCATACATCTACTGAGGATCTGGTATCCAGAATATATAAAGAAATCTTACAGCTCAACAATAAAAAGCCAAATAACCCAATTTAAAAGTAAGTAAAGAATTTGAATAGACATTTCTCCAAAGAAGATATACAAATGGCCAATAAGCTCATGAAAAGATTCTTAGCATCATTACCCGTTAGGGAAATGCAAATCGAAACTACAATGAGATCCTACTTCAGTCCCTCTAAGATGACCATAATAAAAAGATGTACTTGAGCAAGTGCTGGCAAGGATGTGGAGAAATTAGAACCTGTATACACTGCTGATGGGACTGTAAAATGGTGCAGCTGCTTTGGAAAACAGTGTGGCAGTTCCTCGAAAAGTTAAACATAGAGTTACAAATGACCCAGCAATTCTACTCCTAAGTATACACCCAAGAGAACTGAAAACATGTCCACACAAAGACTTACACAGGAATGTTCATAGCAGCGTTATTCATACTAGCCAAAAAGTGGAAACAACTCAAATGTCCATCAGCTTATGAATGGATGAACACAGTGTGGTACATCCATACAATGGACAATTAGTCATAAAAAGGAATGAAGTTGTGATCCATGTTACAAAATGGATGAATCTTGAAAACATTATGCTAAGTAAAAGAACACAGACACAAAAGGTCGCATGTCATATGACTCCATTTGTATGAAATGTCCAGAGTCGAAAACAGAGACAGAAAGTGGATTGGTGGTTCCTGGGGTGGGAGAGGGTGATGGGGAGTGACTGCTGATGGGTGTGGGGTTTCTTTTTGGGTTTATAAAAATGTTCTGAAATTAGATAGTAGTGATTGTTCTACAACTCTATGAATACACTAAAAAATTTTGAATTGTACACTTTAAAAGGGTAGGTTTTATGATATGTAAATTATATTTCAATTTTAAAAGTTTAAAAATATTTATTGAGCATCTACTGAGTGCCATGCACTGTCTAGGTGCTGGGTAAGACACCGTGATCTAAGTCTCTTCTCTTGTGGAGCTGACATTCTAGTGTGGGGGTAAAATAGACAATAATTGATAAATAAGCGAGTATATAATATGCTAAAAAAGAAGCAGAGTAGGGGCGGAGTGATGGGGGTAGGGGTGCTGTTTTAGATAGGATGGTCAGGGAAGGCCTTGTTGAGAAGGTGAGGAAGACCTGAGATGTGAAGGAAGTGGGTCAGTGCAGCTCTTGAGGAAACAGATTTCAGGCAGAGAGAAGAGCAGGGAGGCAGCAGTGTGCCTGGAGAGGCCATTGTGGCTGGAGAAAGGTGAATGAATGATGGGGAGAGTGGTGAGATAAGAAAAGGTGTGTGTGTGTGTGTGTGTGTGTGTGTGTGTGTGTGTAGAGGGCAGTGACAGTGGGGTCCAATTGAGAAGGGCCTGAAAGGCTACAGTAAGAACTTTGGATTAGATTTTGGATTTTGTTCTGAATGAAATGGGAAGCCATCAATGGTTCTGAGCAGAGGATGGACATAATCTGATTTAGAGCTGGACAGAATCCCTCTGTCTGCTGTGGGAAGAGTAGTTAATAGGGCACAAGAGTAGGACTGAGGTCAGCGTGAGGAGGCTGTTGCAAGAATCCAGGCAAGAGGTGGTGGTGACTTGGACCAGGGGAATAAAGGTGGAGATGTCAAGAAGTGTCAGATCCTGGGTATGTTTTGAAGGGATGCGGCTAAGTCTCCTCTCCACCCCTTACTTGCATCAGTAGAAGAAACTCAGGCTCATAGCCACCTGAAGAAAAAACAGTTCTTCTCTTGAGAAGGTGTATTTCAGAAGAGCTGGAAAGTGAGAGGAGATAGAATGTGGCTCACACTCATGTGTTACTGCTTTTTGTCCCTATCAAACCTTCCCCCATTGACCTATTGAACAGTTGTGAATTCTGTCAAAATAAGAGGGGCTCAGTATCTCTGTATGATCCAGAGGCTCTTCCCATTCAAGTCCCACCTCCCCTTTCTTCTTTTATATATGCGTGGATTCTTCCCAGAAGCCCCTGGGAGCAGTGCCTGGATCCCCTTGAACCGGAGAGTTCATGGGGGCTTTGGTGGGAAAATCCAGCTTTGCTCAGCCACCCTTGGCCTTTTGCAATTCCCAGTTCTCCAAACAGTGCACTTCCATCCTCTCTCAGGTACCCATTGCAAAGTTTCTTCCTGTGGCCCTGATTCCATGAACAATCCCTACTGTTGCACCTTGTAAACCCTAATGGAATCTCTGGCCATTAACCACTAGGTGCCATTTATATGGTGTATCCTGACAACTTCTCTGGTTCCTGACATGTTTCCCTCCCCACTCCATGGATTTCTCCAGTCCTTTGTAGCCTCTACCAGCAGTTCCCAAACCAGCCTCTCTGTTTGCCCAACCACAGTGGTCTATTTTTCTGAAGATTCAGGCTCACCCAATAGAGCAGGGCAAAAGCATACACTGGTTCACAATGTCTCCACTGACCTCCTTTCCCTGGACTGAGATCATGCCTCTCAAACTCAAGAAAATCTGCATCCACAAAGGCTTGATTAAAAGTTAATTTCCAACTCCGTTTTCGCAATCATGATTCACAGACTAATTTAGTGGATTCATATGTCAGGGCATAAGTGTGGTTCTTTGCCTACAACATTAAATTCACTAATGAGCCTAAATAGTGTATTCTCCCCTGAATTATAATCACACTTCTGATCTTGGAGTGGTCTCCACTTTCTCTTCATGCTCAGTCCCAAGGTGATGATAATCTGAGGAGTAGTTACTCCTGAATGTAGCCCTACCAGGGCTGAGCTGCCTCAAGTTACCCTCTCAGAAAATGGACCAACATGCAAACAAAACCAAAACAGACAAACAGAAGACACTGCCAGCCTGACATCCTAAAAGAATAAAAAGCCCATTAAATCTTTACTAAAGCATCTGTACAACACCAAAGGAGATTTCTGATCAAAACATGCAACAGAATTAAAAAATCCTCTTTCCCTCTAAATACCTATGATAATAGTGTAACTGCCTCTCTCATCATCAATCTTTCTTCTCATTGTCTCCAAAGGCCCCCAAACTCTCTAAAACTCAACCTTGTGCCTTTTGTCTCTCTCTCCTTGCCCTCATCTTTCCAGGTTGGTCCTCCAGTGTCTGATCCACTCATTTCTCTCATTAATACAGGCAGGGGCGAGACCTGTTTGAATAACAAAGTCTCCTTTTGAGAAGCCACGGAGGGAGGGAGGCTGTGACCATTCAGAAGTCAATTTTTTGTCCCAATCCTGTTATAAACTTGACGTTTTATCATAGTGATCCTTTTCCTGTGTTACAGAATGCAGAACTATCTCAATGGGGCAAGGACAAGAAGTACATGCTCGAAAGCTGATTCAGATGTCGATGCAGCAGGTATGTGGCAAGAGACACCTACTCCAAATGCAACATTCTTGCTATTATCCCTCTGGCCATCACGTCTACCTAGGACCACCACGGTGATGCCTGTGCTGCTCAGTCATTATTTCCATTTTGTTTATGTGTATATAGACCACCTTTAATTACCTGTGAATTTTAAACCTCAAGCTAGTTTGCTCCTGACATCCCCGTAAAAAGCTTTTTCTATCTCCTATAGTATATGCTCCATTTTATTTTCACTAGATATTTTTTTGATAATTTGGCAGATACATTTTCTGGTTAGTAAGGATGTAGTCTTGGAATTTCATGATAAATGTTAATAGATTGTGCTTAAGAAGTGGCAGATTGAGACAGTTACATTTCAATTTTTAGTTCAAGTCAGACTTTCATTTTTCATTAATGAATAGTTTCAGGCAAATAAGAAATATTTGAGGGCGTTATGTTTAAATACGGATAATGGTTTTTATTGAAAATTGCAAGCTGGATGGAATGTTGAGAAATATTTTCCATCACACCTAATAAATACACAGGACATTAATTTTCTAGAAATTCTTGGTAGATGGCAATTTCAGCTGCAATAAGGAATTGCACCATTTATAAAAATAAAATAAGATCTTGGTTTATTTTTAAGCTTTTGATCTTATAATGTCTGTAGCAACTTTGGTCCAATTTTTCCCTGGGAATTAATGACTAGAGAGGGTTAATGGGCTAAAACTCTGCTTGGGTCATCAAATTTTCAAGCTAGTCATTAATTCTTAAGTGCCCTAAGCCTTAATCTTTACCACTTAATTAAATTCAATAATATATTGTATTTAATTTATATATATCAAAGCAATTATATATAATTATTTTTACTCAGATCAAATGATTCACTCTATTGAGTGACTTGACAGTTTAACTTTGGGCCTTAAATAATATCTTTAGTTTCCATGAGTGAGAAACTTTTTAGTTTAAATACTGCATTCACATTAACTGTCTTTGAAATGCTAGCTTTTACAACTTGCACATTCTGTTTCTCAAGGTGAGATAAGTATTGATATTAATGGTATCAGGAAAAAAAAAAACCTCATGAACAGGTGCAGCAACTTTGCCACGTGAGAGACATCAGATGTAGGATAAAGCTGACATTGTAGTTGTATTTTCTCTTACAGTAGAAGAAGGCATAATACACAAGCCTTACCGTGTATTTATTGTGCTTAATATTTTGTAGCTGTAGTTATCTGATCTTGTTATATAAGGGTATCAAAATGTTGTCTGGTTCATAAACTATGTTCTCATAGAGCAGTGATGGTTATGTGATTTGTATTGTTAGAGGTAGTTTTATCAAGTATTTAGATAGTGCTTAATATTTTGTGGTTTTAGGAATTTATGGGATGAGTGATGACCAAGAATAAGGTATAGTGTTATGGTAGCAAATGTCACCAAATGTTTTGTCTCCAACTTTTATGAGATAATGTGCGTCTCTCTTTGTAACTATGGATGAGTTGGTTATGGGGTGAGTCAGTTCTGATTTACCCTAGGCAGGACAATTTGTTACAAATTCCAGAATACCCATTCCTACCATTAGATGGTGCACACACTGTACTTACACAAGTCTGACTTCAAGTTTTAATTTCTGTTCCCTTCTGAACCAGGGGTGGCAGAATACAATCATTTTGAACCCACTTGATTCCAAGTAATCAGCTTTATGAGTAGTTGAAGAAATGATAGTATTGACATATAATAATTTTATTAAAATCGTGTGCTCAAAACAGAGTATTCACATGCTCTAAGCAAAGGTTTAAAAAATTGGTTTGTACATATGTTTTATTAAAATCATAAAAAAGTTACAAGAAATTGATATGAAATCATTTTTGAATACAGGGTGGCTGGGTATTACTGCAAAATTGTCACCTGGGCCTAGAATTCATGGAAGAATTACTAGAGACATTAATTACCACTGAAGCCAATGACGATTCTTTCCGAGTATGGATAACTACCGAGCCCCATGATCGATTTCCAATTACATTGCTTCAGGTTTGTTACTATAAGTATCTTTTCTTTGAGAGTTATATAACTAAAGATGGTATAATTGGCATTATTGAAAGATGGAAACACAACCAGGGCTTTTTGGTCCAGTAGAGTCTGCACTGCCAAATCTTATACTATAATTGTCAAAGTCTTGTCTAGAATCATCCAGATTATATAGCAAATATTTCTACAGAAGAGTTATAAGTACTAATTTATTGGGTTTCAGTTCTGATCAACGTCATTAGTTTACACAGTGCTAAATTTCAACCCACATTTTATGTACCATAAACATATTGTTGTCTGATGTATTATTATAATTCCTATTTCATCCTTTACAATAATTTATAGAAACAAAACTACTGTTTGCTTTTTTACAACAGACGTCTCTCAAATTTACTAATGAGCCACCCCAAGGAGTGCGTGCAGGTTTGAAGAGAACATTTGCGGGAATTAATCAAGACCTTCTGGACGTCAGTAATTTACCCATGTGGAAACCGATGCTTTACACAGTAGCGTTTTTACACTCCACTGTGCAGGTAACTCCCGAGAGCCGTTTACATGTTTAGGGGATGCTCATGGTATGTTGCCTCTCTGCTTCACTGTCTGCTCTCCTTGCTCTGCTTTTTCTCCCCCTCGTAGCGCTTTTCCCCACCTGGCATGGTATATATTTGTTGATGTACTTAATGTGTCCTCCTGCCCCACCCCCATCCTGGCCATCAGAATGTAAGACTCTCAAGGACAAAGACTTTGTCCTTTTATAACTGCCGAATCTCCCCCGTCACAATCTGGGATATTGCCAGAGCTCAGTAAATATTTGTGGGATGAACAAACGGATTATTAGGGTAGGAGCTTGGTGTATAAAGTGAGTGCTGGCCAGGAAGGTTATGTACACCATCTCCTGTCATACTCACAACCACATTTCCAGGTAGGACCATCACCATTTGAGAAATGAGGAAATTGAGACTCAGAGAGGTTATGTTCACTTCGTAGGAGGTGGGTCTAGGAGTCAAGCCCCGCGCTGCCTGCCTCGGACGTAAACACGTTTTGACCCTGCTCCCCACTGCTGAAAGTGGTGGTGGTGGTGGGAGGAGGGGTAACAGTGGTCACCGGTCTTTCTCAGGCTGTTTGCTATTTGCTTTTGCTGTCTAATTACTTATATAGTAATTTAATTATTTTATGGCTACCCAGCAACTTGTCTATGGGATTTTTTTCATTTTGTTATTGTTATTGTTTTGTTCTATATTTGAATTTTATATGTTGTTCTGTATTTGAAAACTGTATAATTTGAATGCACTGGATTCACTCCTTGATTTCACAGAGAGATGAAGAGCCTCCTTTAATTCCTTCCTACGTGTCTTCCTTCCCTGAGGCTAGAGTGAGGACAGTAAGTGGCACGGAGCTTCATCTCCTCTCTCCCCGCCCTGCCCGAAGGTGGAAGAGAATTTGGGGCCCACCCCAGAAAATACTGGGCGTGTTTACCTTCAGGTTCATTGTCTCTACCACTTTACCAGGTTCCATGTTGCCCGACAGAGAGGGCTGCGTAGAGGGGACAGCTGGTGTTTATTTGTTCCCCACCCCAGAGAGAGTTAAAATCAGGTTAAAGGCTTTGTGGGTGGTTATTTTTACTAAGTCCTGTTGTGGCCTTTGGATTGTAAATTGCAGCTTTCAAGTCACTGAAGTCTATTTCTTACATTCTTATCTGGGAATTGTTCCCTTTGCTAGAGCTTATCACACTCTAATACAAATATTGCTTTAAGTCTCTTATTTAAGTCCCAATTCACAAATAATATATTTTATGGTTCTGGTCCCAGTAGTGATGATTCAGTTCTTCCACCTTGCTTATCACGGGGAGATATTTGGGGGTATTTTCCATACGGTCTGTGCAGCAACCTGCATTTCTAGTGGCCATCATCGGAGTGCTAAACAGAAGAACAGCAGGACCATGGTCTAGTCATGGGGCTGAGGTGCTTGCACTTAACATGACATGTATTTCGTTAAAACAGAAAAAATCTCCACCACTAGGGCCGTGAAACTAAAGGTTGAATATCTCTTAAAATCTGGTCGCAGTGTGCTAGTTAGAGCACTTCATTGACAGTCAGAGGCCTGGGCTTTAGACTTGCTGTGAAATCCCTTAGCTATGTGAGGTTGGTCCAGTTATGTCTCTCTGAGGGCCCTTGTTTCCCCATCTCTGTGTTTAGAGGCAGAAGGAGGTGATCTTTCAAGGTTGTTCCCATTTCTAACATTCTGTTATCCAGTTCTGTGACTATGCAGGGAGCGCAGATAATTCAAGCATATTTCCCTCGTTCTTTTTTCATCATTTTCAGAAATGTTTACTGTAATATTGCCTAAATATTTTCTTTGACTTGGTTAGGATAGAGCCAGCTTGATAGAAAAATCTGGAATTCTTTAGGGGCTTGTGGTCCTGGGCCAGTAGCATCCGTATCACTTGGGAGCTTGTAAGAGATGAATCTGAGGCCCCGTCCTAGATCTGCTGCATCAGAATCTGTAATAAGATGCCCACATGATTCGTGTGCACATTAGAGTTTGAGATGCAATTGCGATAGGAAGGACTGTTCTGGATTTGGATAGATTGTGACTTATGTTTCTCTAGTGTTGGACGTAATAGCCAAATACCTGATTTCTTAATTGATCGATTCCTCCAAATTAACCTAGATATCCCTTGCTTTATACAAACACGACGTATATATTTTTGTCCTTGAAGAGACTGAAAAAAAGAAGAGGGAATTGGTTCATGTCACATAATCTGAAGCTTCAGAGCTGGGGAGGCCTTCATGCTGGAGTCCTTCACACCTTAGAATGCAGAACCTATGGGTAAAACGTGAGAGTTGCATGTCCCGCAATGTAATTTCTCTTACTGAGTTGCGGTTTGCCGTCATGCCATCAACTCACCCCCACTCAGGGGCATCACGTGTTATGTGGACCCTACTCATTGTTACAGAGAACAAAACGAGCACCCTTTCTCTCCTATAAGAAGAAGTAGATTTGGCTGGTCAAAGACACCTTTCTTGGGTAGAAGAGTGGTGAAAGTTGTGGTTTGTTCTGTCGATGAGGAGGCAGCAGGCTTACCCAGTAGGAGGGTGCCTGGGTGCTGCCCTGAGAACCTGCACAGATGCACAAGCCAATTCTGCACTGAGCTCTTCTTGCCCCAAACTCCCCCTGGCCTCCTTCCTCTCTCCTACAGGAACTTACCATCCACACAGGTCAGGAAGTTACTGCAGCAGTGGGCGCTCTTACTGCAGTCAGGTGATGTCTGTGCCTTTGCCAGCCAGCCCTCCTGTCCTCGCCGTGGCAGTCTTGCATTCTCAGCACCCTGGTGTATGCTTGGCTCCATTTGGCCACGACTCCTTGAGAACGTTTCCAAATCCTCTTGAAGATGACTCTCAGGGGAAGCTTCCCTCTGGCCTCAGTATTATCTCTCTACGCTTTCCCAGAAACTCCAGTGTAACACCATGCTGGATTTCAAAACAAGCCCACGTTCACCCTTCAGGATTTTAATTTTAAATATATCTTCCTCCAAAGTCTTGGTCTTTTGAAACTTAATAATTACATTTGTAGTCTCCTCTCAACACTTCCTGTAGAAGGTCAGAATAATGTTTTCTGGTTTTTTCCTATTAATGGTCAAGGTACCATTACCCAATATACCAATGTACCCATTGCCTGGGCCCCAGAATCTCTGGGAGGAGATGGTGAGGTGGGGTGCTCAGTATTTTTAAAAACTTCTCAAGTGATTTTAATGTGCGACAAGAATTGAGAATAACTGCCAAGCAGCCACTGCCCCTAAGGGAGGAGTCTTTAGTCATTTTTACTTCCTTTTCATGGTTTGGAATTTTTCTCCCCGTCACCTTAGCTTGCCCACATTGAGGCCCACATTTGGCACTTTTCTAACAGCTTATACACAACTCTGTGAGATTTTTTGCTAAAGTCATTGATTAGGAGCTCTCACGGCCTGCAGTGGCAGTTGCAAACTTTGAAATTTTACCGTGGCTTTTAAAAGTAATTGAAATATTAAATAAATATGGCCATGTCAATAGCAGCCAGGGAATTCCACTGTTAGCAGTTCCTTATTCAGAAAAATGTTTCCTTCTACTACATTTTGTTTTCTTTCTCAAGTTTGAGCCTTGAGAAACACTCTCTTCAAGTTTAATAGTGTATATAAAGTTCTTGCTTTGAGGAGGCGTGATTATTATGTTCTTGATTTAAATGTCTTCAGAATAATTACAATAATATGATACAGGTTTTTAAAAAGATCTTTTACACTTTGCTGTATAGTGTTTCCCAGTGGTCCTGGCCATTTCTGTTAATTATTTTTACCTATTAAATTTTCCCTGTATTGTCTAGTGTGGATTGTATTTTTCATTTTATGTTAGCTCCCGTTATTAAATAAATAGGATGTGGTACTCCAAAGAGAGCCTTGTTTTGAAGATGTGACTGAGGTGATTCTGCACTGGGCTGTGGGAGGTAGGATCATTGGGCTGAGGTAGAATCTACCATAAAATTGGAAATAGCTTTGACATCATTAAAATGACGACTCCACTGAGCAACTTTTCTTCAGAGTTCTAAGGAGGATTCCAAGTTTTCCATGTTTCACTAATAATTCTGTGTTTTGTATATTCTTTGGAATAAGAAGAAAAAATCATATTCATTAAATTCATAAGTGGTAGAGGTAGACTAGTCTTCCTAAAATTATCACTTTTCAACTTAATAATGGATAATAACTCCCTTCTGTTGAATCAGGTTTTAGCTCTCTATCCTGACATCCAATCTATCTACATTCTGTCCCTGAGTCATCACGTGAGCACATGGTTCCTGCTACTCGCCAGAGGTTGCCTCTGCTGCGGTAGAACTGTTCCTGCCCAACGTGGGGCCTTCTGCTCGCCACAAGACATGCCAGTAGTCAAGAGGCAAGGTGGTGGTAGAAAAGGGACTTTTTATTACAGCTTGCTAGCAAGAGGGAAGATGGCTGATTCATGTCCAAAAGAACCATCTTAAGGGGGCACAAAATCTTACAGCAGTTATATAGGCCATTGGGTTACAGGGGAGAGGGTTAGGAGTGTTGACCTTCTGGTGTTACAGACTGGGAGTGCCACACCAGATCTTTCAGTTTTCACTAATGATGGGCTCTCAGCATAGACTCTCTGTTCGGGGGTCATCACATTCCTAAGGAACTAAAAAAAACGAAGTTATCATCTTATCGCAGCTGGGAGGTACATGCACAAGCAGGGGTTGTAAAATCTACAGAGCAGTTAGATCTCCTGGAGGGCGCATATCCAGCTGGATTAGTTTGTCAGAGGTCATTCAAAGTTACAACAGGGCTTCTTTTCTACAATATGGCTTCTCTTATGACAACCTTGGCTTGAGCTGGTATCAGAACCATTTACCTGCAAACTCCTTCTGGATGAATCATGAGCTTTGCGTTCCTGTCTTTGCTCATGGCCTTCACTCAGAAGTCTGTTTTTCTCCCTTATTTTCAAAGACCAGCTTTAGTTTCGTGCTCCTCCCAGAAGCCTCTGATTGAATGTCTTCTTCAGGCTTATCATCTGTTAACTTTTGACAGTTAATTATGCTCACTATCACATTGTCCTTTACTTATTTCTAAGTCTTATTTTCTCAACTAAATTAAAACTTTTTGAAAATATACCAATTTTAATATTTTCTATTGTATCACATAGGACTCATTTCACAGTTTCAAAAATACTAATTGGACTAAAGAGATTCAATATTCCAAATATACCAAATTCTAGCAAAGTTTCCTGCTTTTGAGCTTCCAAATGAGTTCTTAGGTCCCAATGGTTTGAGTTGTTCCTAATAGTAATCCAAGGTGATAATTCAGGGTTTTTTTGTTATTGTTATTTAGAGAGATTAGTGAGTACAAAAAATAAAAAAGCAAGAAAGTGAAATGACTTCCTTTGTGAAGGAAAAGACATCCACCAAGATTTTATCTTTTTCCCCCCCAAGATATGCTTAACAGTCGATGACTTTAGTGAACCAACCTAAAAAGTGAATGCTTTAAATGAAAATTGATACTAAGTAACAAAATGAAGCAAATCTCAGCATTGGGGCAATTTTCAAAGATCGTATTTTAAAGAGCAACTGCATTGCAATTGCTCAGTGCATATAAATGGGAGTGTTTCTACAGAGCCAATTTAAGTAGCTTCAGTAATTGGAAAGAAAGAATTATTCTTCATTCAGCCTCCTGTCTAATTGAACAGTAACATTAAAAAATTAAGTCAACATAGGTAAAACTATTTTAGAGTTGATTCTCTTTTTTTTAAAAATTGGAAAACGTTTGCATTTCACTAATAAGTGGTTAGCATTCTTCTCTTTGAAGTCCCCCAAGTGGAAGAAATTCCAGAGACTCAAGGGTTAGCTGAATGCATTTTCATGTTAATATCCCATAGACCCTCCCAACCCACCCTTGCTCCTAGAATAACCTGGAGGAGGCTCACCTAGATGTTTCTGGGATCCACTCAAGAAGTTCAAAACCCCGTGTCAGCTTCTGAATTGACCCCCACAAAGGGTGAGAGGGAGAGTGCCTTTCAGTCTGACAATAATCTATTAATGTTTATTAGACAGCCAGGATCCTTTCCCCAAGGTGCAGTTGCAAAAGGGGAGACAAAAATGGGAGACATGTTTTTCCCTGTCAAGGCTCAAAATCTAGTTACAGGACCAGATATTTCAACATGAAGCAACTAGAAAACAAACCAAGGCAACCTGAATGCTGAGACCAGGAAGCAGAAAGCCATCAAGAGAAGCTGACAGGTTTAAGAGCCAAGGCTCCTCCTCTTACACCTGGGACGACACCACATGTCTCTCCTCCTGTCAAGGTGGCACCTCTGCTCCCTCTCCCTTTCTCTGTTCAAGGTGGAAGATGGTGCTTCACGGCTTCTGTGTTTACAAGTCTCCCTAGTTTAAGCTCTGACTAGGATAAGTCCGGAGAGCAGTTCTTAACCCTAAGTCTAAATTCCTGAGAGAAAGAATCTGGTTGGCTCTTCCTGGGCTGGTTGTCCACCTTTGATTTCATTAGCTAAGGGGCGAGGGTGGGAGTCACACCATACAGATGTCCAACACCTAAAAACCTAACCTGAAGACGTACAGGTCTAGAGGTAATGGTAGTAGTTTACATTGTTAATGAGTTATTTGTTTGCCCTCAGTCTGAACTTCCAGGGCCAGAATATCTAGACGCAAGTTAATTTTCATGGTATACCTAATATTTAAAAATCATATCCTAAAAATCAATAATTAAACCTTCTCGCTTTCTGAATTTCTTCTCTGACCTGTCCATGAACTTGTCCAAGTTAAAATTCATTTAGATTCCTTTTATATAGTGGTATTATTCAGGTTCTAAAGCATGGAGGAGCTGCAGTAAGAAGTATTGGAATGGCTTGTAACAACAGCGTGTGTGTGTGTGTGTGTGTGTGTGTGTGTGTGTGTGTATGTTGGGTTGAGGAAGGCAGAAAAGGAAAGAAATTTAGTACAATCATGTACCACATAACAACATCGTGGTCACGACAGACCACATATATGACAGTGGTCCAGTAAGATTAGTTCCATATAGCCTCAGTGTGTAGCAGGCTGTACCATCTAGGTTTGTGTAAGTACACTCTATGATGTTTGGAGAAGTAGAATTACATCTTCCCGTAGGTGTATCAGGATTCCACACTCCACATAGTTCCTCACCTCAGGCACTAGGGTCAAAGGCCTAGGAGCTAATCCCAATAAATAATTGGACCTTCCTTAGAGACTGATTGTGTGCTCAGGCAGGGAAAGCTGATGGTATGTTAACACTTGAGTTAATCTCTGTGGTTTGCTAGGTGATCAGGGCCTGGAATGATGAGTTCTAACACTTACATACCTTTAAAATGGTCTCTGGAATATTAAGGCAGTTGAATCATTTGATCTGAGCTCAGTTTGATTATTTATGGGTGATTTGGCAATTCAAAACAGTCAGTCACTGTTTCATGGGAGAGAACAAATGAAGGCAACGTGAAAGTTTTAAGACAGGCGTGTCGTGTTTTACAATAGAAATGTTTAGTTTTCAAAATCGGAAAGGGCAAAATTACAAAGTGAAACGAGCAAGGAGTCTAAATGCTCCTGAGTGCTGAAATTATTCAACTTGAAAAACAAAAATTCAAACCCTTACGTTTAACACTGGAAACTTTCAAGAGTCCAATTTAGAATAAATGAATTCATTCCACAGGTATTGATTGAGCACCTTCTACACAGTTTTTGAGTTGGCAATCGAGACCCAGACTTTTGTTTTTAAAACCCAAGAACTCCAATTTGGCAAATACTTGGAGATTTGTTTTTGTAAACCACCTGGCTGTAGAGTCCTGGAATAATATTTCTAATGGTTAATATATCCAAAATCATATACTGCTCTTCTATGACATCAACTTATTTTGATATCCTGCCTTAATTTTACTGTACTTTATGTTTTCATAATAATAATAATAAAAGGAATCAGCTGCATACAATTTTAAAATCTCAATGCTTACTTTTCTTTGGTGTTTTTAAGGAGCGACGCAAATTTGGTCCCTTAGGATGGAATATTCCCTATGAATTCAACTCTGCTGACTTTACAGCCAGTGTTCAGTTTATTCAGAATCACCTCGATGAATGCGATATTAAAAAAGTGAGTGAAATTGTTTCTTTTTTCTTTTTGTATTGCTGTCCTTAAGCCAAGGTTCTATAGACATTTTCAGTCTGTGATATACAGTGAACCTGCTGAGGTCCTCCCATCTCCCCAAAAGGGACTGCTCGTTCCATTCAGCTGTCCACTGGTCCAGCCATTTCTCTCACAGCCCTACTGCCTGTAGGAGTGCATTCGGACTCTCTATCTCACACTTGTGAGAAACCCCCACCCGGTCTCTCTTCTGTGTACGTACACAACAGAGGCAAACCACTAATGAAGAAACTCAGTGTGTTGAGAAACACCACAGCCGTCTTCATATCACACCTAAGTGCCACAGTGCACTTCAAGAGAATGTATACCCTAAATCAAACTTCTCTTCTTTCATACTTCTTCAAAGTGAAAATGTTATCTCCCAGCCCCTGTGAAAGTTCTTTTTCACCTTAAGTCACATCTTAACAGACATTTAAGCTTATGCTTATAAACAGCAATAATTTCTAATAATGATCACTGATCGTTATATAGCACTTCACAGTTTTCAAAGTGCTCGCGTAGGCAGGATCTCATTTTTATTTTCCCAACTCTATGAGGTAGATACAGAAGGCGTTACTATTATCCCCATTTTATGGATGAGGTAATAGACAAGAGAGAATAAGGAACTTCCTCAAGGTCACAGAGCGAAGAACGCAAACCCAGTTGGCCTTTCACACATGTGTAATAAAGGGTTGGAAATCTGTTTCTTCTATGAACTTGAACAAGTTTAGGAGCCTCTCAGAGCCTGTTTCTTCATCTATAAAAAGGCCATGGTTTTTGTGAGGAATAAATGAGTTAGCATTTGTGAAAGCACAGTTTGTGTGCATAACATAAGGGCTCGATATATATACCAGTTTCCTACTGTCTCTCCCTCTCTTCCTCCTCATAGTCGATCTTGAAGACAATTATAGATGCTGCAGTATCAGTATGGTGAGGATGAGCCAGGATGAATTTTTATCTGGGCAGGTGGGGAATCTAGCATCAAACCATCATTTTTCCTTGAAATTACAAAGGGATATTAAGTTGAGTATGACATTTTGATGAAAAATTAGATCACATGGGCTAATATTCTGTGATTATTTATCATTTTGCTATATACAAATAACAGTTACCTTGAAATAGTTGTTTTGAAAGGCAACGAAGCTGAAAAATAAAATTTTAACCAAGAGAAAGTAAATAAAAATCAAGCATCCTTACTTCTGTCCCAAATATATTGAAAGGTTTTTTTTTAAAATAAAAAACTATTAATATCTGAAATGTACTGCTAGTATAAGATTGCTGTGGAAATTAATAAATACTTTGATGTAGTTACAGCTCACAGAATGAGACAGCAGAGAATTGCATTGTAGAAAAATCTCATGAATGAATAATTTTCTAGTTGTTCTCATACCTATTCAGAAAATACATTACTAAGAAAGCATCTTAAAGTGTTGATTACTTGATTTTTCTCCTTTCTTCACTAAACATGACTTTTTTCTCCTCTAACAGCTTGGCCTTACTATAATGAGTATTATAGGTAATTACATTCGCAGAGTGAAAAATAGTTGTTTTTTTCCCCTATTTTAAGTAATCAGTGAGCAACACATCCACCAATGTTTAGTATTGTAGATTTTTCTTTGGTGAACAAACCATAGCAGTTCCAGTCATGTACTAGCAAAAGAGTTATTAATATAAGATAATGAGTAATTTTAAATGCAATCTAGTCAGTGCTTCCTTTTCCAGACCTTTCCTCTAGGGAAAGACCTGAAATGTTTAGAATTATTCATTTGGATTGACAATGAATCATCTTTTTTTATTTTTCGTAAAGGGTGTATCATGGAGTACGGTTCGGTACATGATTGGAGAAGTACAATATGGCGGCAGAGTGACAGATGACTTTGATAAACGACTACTTAATTGCTTTGCAAGAGTAAGTCAATTTAGGAAAAAAAGCACGTTTTTTCATTTCATTGCATTTTCCTTTTAAATAAGAATATTTTTTGTTGGTAATAGGTAAGCCAAACTTAAGGGGAAAAAGAAGTATAGAGCAGAGCTGCTAAAAAGAATCAACCAACAAAACAAAACAAAAACAAAAACAAGAAACAAACTAGCAATTTACTGTGGTCCAGAGCAGAATAGTGGTCAACTCTCAGTGGTTTGTGAATCTTCTCTTGTATAGATGTGCTGCTCATATCCAGGGTCTCTCCCCTCCTCCTCCATGAAAACACTGGACATAATTTCTCTGCCTCTTCCTCTGAGTTCAAGTCTCATGGCACTTTCAAATATTGTGATTGGAGAATTAACCATAATTTGAGTTTTTTCTTCTCTTCCATTAGGACAATTAGAAATTGATGAAGTGTTCATTTTTTTTTCTCTCTGAGCTTAGTAAAATCCATGTATATCACTTGGTAAACATTTTCTAGAGAAAATTGTTCCTTAGCAATTATGGCTTTTACATCAAGGATGAATAGTATAACTGCATCTATCAGACTCACACTCTTCCTAAAGTCTTTACATGTTAAAGAAGCAATAAACATTACCTAAGTGGGACAAAAACCAGATACGTGAGTATTTTATGGTTATTTGAATTCTTTATAGTAGCATCTATATGGGTAATTCTCTGTTTCAATGATTTTCTTCCCTTAACAAAATTAAAACTTCAATGACAAAGCATAAGCTTCGGGAGGTATTTTGGGAAACTGGAGGTTGACCAGAAAACTGATTTTTCTTTCAACTCTTATTTATTTTTTTGCAAGTTTTTCTGGAAGCCACGTGTGGAGAAAGGTGGACAATGATAAGCGTGGGTAAGGACGTATGGAGGAAGGTGCCCTGCTGCTGGAGGTTAAGCCAGTACAGGCCTCCTGGAATGCCATTGGGCAAAAATTACTAATGTTAAGTATCCTGGGTAGATACGTCCCAGAACATTTCTAGAAAAAGTCCACAAACGGGGGCTGGCGCAGTGGCATAGTGCTTAAGTTCGCGTGCTCCCCTTCAGCGACCCCGGGTTCGCGGGTTTGGATTCTGGGCGCGGACCTACACACTGCCCATCAAGCCATGCTGTGGCAGCATCCCACATACAAAATAGAGGAAGATTGGCACAGATGTTAGTTCAGGGGCCAATCTTCCTCACCAAAAAAAAAGTCCACAAATGGGTATGTATAAAAATGTTCATGGCAATATTATGTGTGGAGCTGAAGGCGATCATCGTAGGTTGAGTTCTCTGGAAACAGACTCTGAGATGGAGATCTGTTTGCGGCTCCCCACTACCACTAGGACATGACCTTGGTTGAAGCGGCTCCCTTTTGTCAGGGTGATTCCTGGGAAGGGACAATGCTGTGAGATCTCAGTAGCCCATACTCTGGGGGAGCAAGTGCCTGGGTCCTGAAGAAGGATCTGGTGGTGTATCACAGCATCCACTACAAATCCCCAAGAATCCTAAGAGAATAGATGAGAAGTAGTGGATGAGCATGATGGAATATTGCTCACCTTTCCAGGGTACAATCTGGAGGCACTTAGTCCTATCAAGTGTGTGATATGACTACTCTCTGAACCAGAATCCCACTCCTGAGTGTATTTTCCAGAGAAATTCTCAGACAGGTTTATGGACATGTGCAAAGATACTATTGATAGCATTGTTTGCGGTAGTGGAAAGTTGAAGGCAACCTAGAGGCCTGTCATGGGGAAACAGATGAGTTAAATGTTGTAGACTCCTATCATGGAATACAATGCAGCACTTGGAAGAAATGATCCATATGATATCATGCATAGATCTTAAAAACTAAGTGTTGAGGGCAGAGCTTAAAAAAAATAAAATGAAGGGCCGGCCAGATGGCGCAAGCGGTAAAGTGCGCGCGCTCCGCTGCGGCGGCCCAGGGTTCGCCGGTTCTGATCCCGGGCGTGCACCGATGCACCGCTTGGCAAGCCATGCTGTGGCGGCGTCCCATACAAAGTGGAGGAAGATGGGCATGGATGTTAGCTCAGGGCCAGTCTTCCTCAGCAAAAAAAGAGGAACATTGGCAGATGTTAGCTCAGGGCTGATCTTCCTCACACACAAAAAAATAAAAATAAAATAAAATGAGATCTATCAAGTGATACATGTACATTTCACAAGGACATATATCAAGTACATTTAAATGGATGCCCTCAGAGGGAAGGAGACTTGGAGTGGATACCAGGGCTGCATGGGGAGAAACTAAAATAAAAGGGGCCTAGACTCATGAGAGTAATAAAGGAATATGATAAACTCACCTCTGTATCTCAGGTTCAAAGGAGAAAAAAAGATGTCTTAGTAAGTATACTTTGTGTTAGAATAATTGTAAAAGTACCTAAAATTGGAGTTTGAGCACTGTTGACTGTGAGAAGTGGTTAGATTTTGGATATATTGTACAGATACTCCCAGCAGAATGCTGATGGTGAGAGAAGGGAGTGAAGGATCACTCCTAGTTTTGACCTAAGCAGCTAGATAGGGAATGGGACTGTTTACAGAGAAGGAGAAGGGCTACAGAAGGAAGGAGTTTTATTGGCTGGGAGTGGAAATTAGGAGTTCTGTTTTGATCATGTAACTTTTGAGATGCCTACTAGACACTCAAATGGAGTTGTCTAAGACTGTAAGTTCCATATGGGTGGGGACTTTGCCTGATTACATCACTGCCAAATTCCCAGCACCTGGAACAGAACCTAGCACATAGTAGGTGCTCAGTAAATATTTGTTGAATGAGAGAATGAATGAAGGTAAACAAGGCAGTTGGATGTACAGATCCGGAGGTCAGGAGAGAGCTCAGGGCTAGAGAAAGATTTGGAATTTGTCAGCATATAGATGACATTTAAAGTCAAGACATTAGATGAGATCATCATCCAAGAAGAAAGTGTAGAGAAAGAAAAGGGAAAAAAAAAGCTAAGGACCAAGTCCTGAGTACTTTAATGTATCAAGAAAGAAGATACATGAGAGAGGTCAAGGAAGATGAGGAAAGGGAATTGGCCTTTACTTGGTATTTGCCTGATAAAAATTTTAAAAAATTTTAACCTACTTTTAAAAAATATGAAATATCGGGCCGACCCCTTGGCTTAGTGGTTAAGTGCGTGTGCTCTGCTACTGGCGGCCCGGGTTTGGATCCCGGGCGCACACGGACACACCACTTCTCCAGCCATGCTGAGGCCACATCCCACATACAGCAGCTAGAAGGATGTGCAACTATGACATACAACTATCTACTGGGGCTTTGGGGGAAAAAAAAAAGGAGGAGGCAATAGATGTTAGCTCGGAGCCGGTCTTCCTCAGCAAAAAAAAAGAGGAGGATTAGTACGGATGTTAGCTCAGGGCTGATCTTCCTCACGCATGCACACAAAAAATATGAAATATAGCACAGTGCAGAAAAATGTGTAAAACATGAAGATACAGCTTAATAAATTTCTTCAAACAGACGTAGAACATTTCCAGCACCCCCAAAGACTCATGCATGCCCCTTCTCCATCACAACTTCTCATTCCCTCAATGTTACCACAATTCTGGCTTATAGGAACCATTTCTTTCTCACTATACTTTTACCAGCTAAGTATGCACTCCTTAATAATGTAATTTAATTTTGCCTGTTTTAGAACTTTATATAAATGGGATCATAGAGTATGTTTTCTTTTGTATCTGGCTTCTTTTTCTCAATGTGACACTTTGAGATTCTTCCATGTTGCAGCATGTAGCAGTAGTTTACTCATTTTCATTACTGTCTAGTATTCCATTGTATTGTGTTGGTGGAAATTAGGATCAATTCCATTTGGAGCTATTATAAATGATGCTGCTGAGACCATTATTGCACAGATTTCTTGGTGCACATGGATATGTTTTTGTATTAGGAATGGAATTGCTATGTAATAGAGTTTGTATATTTTCCATTTTAATTGATCACATCAACCTGGTTTCCAAAGTGGTTGTTCCAATTTATACATCCAGCAAAAGAATGAGATACCCCGTTTCACCACATCCTCGCTAACATTGGGCATGATGAGTTTCTTTAATGTTAGCTGTTCTGGTGAGTTTATAATGGTACTTCACTTTGGTTTTAATTTTTATTTCTCTGCATACTAATGGAGTTGAGCACCCTCACTTGTTTATTGGCTATTTTTATTTTCACCTCTGTGACTTCCTTGTACATTCTTGCCTCTGTTTCTCTTGAGTAGTCTGTCCTTTCAAAAAATTGATTTATAAAAGCTTTTTGCATATTCTGGATACAAGTTCTTTGTTGATTATGTGGTTGCAAATACCTTTTCCCACTCCGAGTCTTCCCTTTTCACTCTCATTAATCTTTTAATGATTAGAAATCTTAATTTTAGTATACCTGGCGTATCTTTTTCTGTTCCTTTTATTTCAGCTTTTCTGTGTCATTATGTTTTAAATGTATCTCTTATAAATAACAAACAGCTGGAGTTTTTAATCTCCAATCTGAGAGTCTTTGTATTTTAACAGGCAAATTAATCATTTTACTGTTGTGATTACTGCTATGTTTTGACTTATATCCATCATCTTATTTTGTGGTTTTCATTAACCATGCTTTTTTTTTGGCCTTTTCCCCCTTCTTTTCTACTTTTTTAAAAATGTGTTTTTATTTTTCTCTACTGGTTTGAGAGTTATATATTCCATTTCTAGTCCTTACATTTTCTAACATGATTACTTAAGTTAAGATCTAACCATACTTTATGGGCTCTAACTCTGATCCCTTCTGAGCTGCATCTTCCGTATTACTGTTGTGGAACATTTTGGTTCCACCTCATTTTTATCCCCACGCCTATCATTCATTATGTTGATTTTTACAACCAGTGCTGATTTAGATTTACCAATATGTGTACCAGTTGTTTTGCACACCATCCTTATATTGCCCTCTTCCCCTCCTGATAGAAGGAGAGCAGCACGTTCCTTATGATGGGGAAGGAGATGGGTATGGCGGCAGGGACTGGTAGGTTTGATGGGGGAAGATGAGGTTGTTTTCTTCTGACTGTGTCTGTGTTCAGAGTGGAATAAAAAGAAGCATCATCAGCTGAGGGGATGCAGGTCTTCAGCTAAGGGGAGAGGAGAACAAGTTTGGGACATTTGAAGGGAGAAGAAAAGGTGTGAATACCTGCCTTGGAGAGTGGGAGAGGGAATATGTGATCCTAATACGTGTGTTCTGCCTCCTCCACTAGATTGTAAGCCCATTGAAATAGAAACAAGTCTTCCAGGTCTCTGTGTCCCTTCTCTCTAGCACCTAGGATGCACTCAATACCTGTTCGTTGATGATGATAAACATAATTTAATCTCAGCAGATTGAGAGTTTTATGTGCTCAGGGTTATATTGTTGTCTAAGACAGAGTAGATTGGATTGAATTTTTCCTGACCCCCAGAGCACAACTTCAAAATTAGGTATACTTTTTTTTTTTTTTTATAACACTTTGTATCAGCTTTCAAAAAAAGATGCTTTGACTGTTTTTCTAAAAAGTAGAGTTCAAGAAAAGTCCTAATTAGCCAACCCTCTTCATCAGTTTTTCTGTTTTATTAAAACTGCCTTACCCAAAGGTGTAGGAACACTGCGGTTTGCTGGCAAAGTGAAGGGGCTTCTAAGAGACCTCTTTGCTCTCCATGTCAGAATCAGAGCTGGCTCTCTAGGTCACAGTTGAAAGCTGCTTGTGGTTAATGGTCACCTCGAGGTAGGTGGCTGAGCCCGGGCAAAGGGAGGGAGAGGAAGAAGCGTGCGTCGCTCAGACTGCTCCATCTGCAAAATCTCAGCCTGGGTGTAGCCTCGCGCTTTCCTAACCTGTCTTTCCTCCTCTTCTACTTCTCTGTATTCCAGAATTCAGGGCAATAGAAGGCTAGTCAGCTGACCCCGATCCCCCAACTCAGAAGCCTAGAATTCCGCATCCTCTGGGCCTGAGCCTGGCCTGGGGGAAGCTCACCTGGGACCATAGTGTCAGTCATGCAGACCTTCTGCTCTAGAAGCCCAGAGCTCGTTATCCAGGCCCCGGTTCACTGGCTGCTCCTGAGGAACAGCAGATCCCTCCCCACCTGGGTTGTGTTTCTCCCTTATTTCACTGATTCTGGCTTCTCTGAACTCTGTTCTCAGCAATTACTGTCCTAAATGAAAACGTCCTCCTATTATTTTTCCATTCTTTTCCCCCTGGGCAGCTCCCTCAGACCTGTTCTCTGTCTCTCTTAGGACTTTCCCTAGTATTGTTCCACCTTCAGTGGCTCCAACTCCCACCCTGGGGCAGCCCCACCCCCTTATTCCCGCTGAATCTGCAGTGCATCCTCCACTCTTACCCACCTCCTGTCTCACCGGTCCTTCCCCTCACTCATTCCTCTGTCTAGCTTGGACCTGTTCCAGATGACCACTCAATACCCAGAGAGGTGAGTTTGGGTCTCTAGCTCTAAGGACACGAGGTCACCACATGAACCTGGCAGCAGAAACCCTCTTGAAGAAGGCTGCAGACAAGCACCATGGAATCCACATCCTGCCTTCCCCTTGTCTTATCTCAGTCTCAGCCTCAGTCTTACCCTCTAATCAGCTGACCTAACCTCTTTGCTGCCACTTTGCCCTGACCATGGTATCCAGAGCTGCCCTAGTGAGAATTGGTTCAGTTGTATATCAGTGCCTTCAAATTGGATCCTCTGTCCCTATGACTTTCAATTGGGGCTTATCTTTGAATCTCTATTTTCTCTGTTCTCAGCAACTTATGGTGTGTCTCCCCTAAAACCAACAACCGTAGAACCTTATGTATTGTCCTTGGAAGATGACTGCTTCTCTTTGTAAGGTACCTTCTTATCTCTGTAAGGTACCATCTCCCAAAGTAATTTCATGTAGACTTCATATTCTATATTTTAACTATTATATGCCAAAGTGTCTTCCAAAGTTGGTGAAACTCAGCTATGTTTGTGAATCCAGCTATTTGTGTGCATATAAATAAAGTAATGGAAAAACAAGAAGGAACTTCATTTTACCTTTATAGACACATGTCATCTGGCAGCAGAGAACTCAGTGTGGTCATTTGTTGTCTGTGTGCTGAAGACTCCACGGCCTTCACCTCCCTAGTCATCCACATCACTAAAAACCTGATCTTTCTAAATAATGACCATGATCACAGCACTGTTCTCTTTAACTTTCAATGGATCCTCATTTTCTTAAATTAAGTACTAGTCCTGACCCTGACATCCATAGTCACTTCACTTTTCTTGTGCTGTCTCTTACCACTACACTGTATTTACCCTAGATTTCGTCAGTTCCCCAACCTGCCTCACATTTTTGCATCACTTATTCTATGCCTTTGCTTGTATGGTCTCCCCAGTCATGGTTCCCCTTTCAAAATCCTCTCCTTCAAGGTTTATCTCCAAAATCGCCTCATAGATAAAGCCTTACTGTTATCCATCTGGCTATTCTTTCTTCCTGCTTTAAGCCTCCTTAGTACTTTGCTTATTTTTATTTCCTCTGGCCCTTACCTTAGTGCACTTTGTATTGTGGTTATTATGTAATTGGCTTATCCCTCTATTGGTCACAAGCTCCTTAAAGGAAAGGACTGTGTGTGTCTCATCTTTGCATTCTGTTCCCATTCTGAGCCTTGTACACAGAAATTGAATAGGATAGAACTGTGGCAAGTAAAGCAAAAGAGAGAACTGGTGCACAGGGTATTTCAGAGCAATCACTGGACCTAAAAAGAGCTGGAAGAAGGATAAGGAGGGAAGATACTAGAGACAGTGTGACCAACCAAAGTAGGGCACAGTCCCCATCTCTTTTCACATCCAGTCCTCCAAGTGATTCAGACATCCTGCCTGCTTTTCTGCTCCTCCTGTCTTCCACTATTTCCCTCCCTACTGAGAAAGTCGCTCTATTAGGCACTGAAGTCATTGCCTCAAATCTGGCTCAGAGGCATTCAGCATTATTTTTTTTTTCCTCTTCAGATTAAGTCTATTCACACAAAGTATATATTTGTTCTCTCACTGTTACATTACAGGTAATCAATTCATAAGGAATGAGAAAATGATGTCCTTAAGGCGAACAATAAGACAGTTGGACAATAAGACATTTTCTTATTGTGGCCAGGACATAACTTAATCAATGGAGGGAGCTCCAGCTCAGGGTGGGTGGGGAGACGTTTGTCAGTTTTCCTGGCCTTGTGCTGTGCTGTGAGGCACACTGGGCACTAGCGTAGCCCCTGGGCATGAGCCCATTTCCGGGAGAAGGGAGGCAATGGAAATGCCCAGATATTCTCTCGTGTGGGTGTTTATTGCCTCATCTCCTCTGCAGTGTGTTCCCACTCCTCTTCAAAGTGGGATTGAGCAGAGAGTGGGCTTGCAAGGCCGGCTCTCTCCTCTTCACTCTTAGCAAGATTCTTCTTTGGTATTTAACAGAGGCCCAAGCTTCATTGTTTTTGTGTTGTGGCCTCTCTCTTTACTTCATATATGTGCTGATTATTCTATCAGTGGTTTTGTTAGGGTACTTTCAAAACTCAATATAAAAAACTATTAAAATGTAAATAAGGCAACCTTTCCTCCTTGATAGTGGCAGTTTTCATTTTGATGTTCATCAATTTTATTTTCTCTACTTTCCCATATAGGTCTGGTTCAGTGAGAAGATGTTTGAACCGTCGTTCTGTTTTTATACTGGATATAAAATCCCCTTGTGCAAAACTTTGGACCAGTATTTTGAATACATCCAGTCATTGCCATCCCTGGATAACCCCGAAGTCTTTGGGCTTCACCCTAATGCCGATATCACGTAAGTTCTTGGCATTTTTTAATTTGAAGGGGTCATTTGTGACTCAGCCTGGCAAAGACTGTGCATTTTATTTTCTCTGTTAATCTCTCTCCTCTCTCTTGTTTTTATTTTACTGTGAAAAATAGTATCACTTCCTGTCTCCTAACTACAACTTTGTCATCACTTGGCCTACCCTCCCCTCACTGAATCCTGATGCTCCAGAGTTTATGACAACGTTAAAGCTCTAATTTATGCATCGACTATTTCTCCTCTGTCATGTCATAAAATCAGTTGGTGTTGTTAGTATTGATGCTCTCCCCTGATAGGACAGTGGTCTCCCAGCTCCTTGCCTCTGACCTCAAAAAATCCGTGAAAAATAATGGTCATAAACAGAATCTAAAAGGGCCAGGAGGGTAGAGAGAGGAGGATGAAGAATTGTATTTCTGCTTGATCCTCTCTTTTATGGTCCTCTCCCCTTACTTGCTCACCTCCATCCTTCTGTCACTAACTGCCCACAGTGGGCACAGTGCAGCGAGCACGGGAGCACAGGACGCAGATGCAGAGCCCAGGAGGAATGGCTGGAGGTCTCAGGTCAGTGTGAGGTCCCTGCTCCAGTCTCTGAGGCAGGAGGCAATGAGTGAAGAGATAGGAAGTGTGTCCACGTCCCAAGCCGCTTCTTAGACCCATCCTTTGGATGAGGTCTCACCCCACATCTCTCTAGAGATCCCTTCCTGAAAAGAAGACCACCCAGCTCCACAGAGAGTGCTCCAGGAAGCCCCAGCTGAGATTCTCCTCTGGATGGTCATTGCCTTTGGCCCATCGATGAGAGACCACAAAGGTTATGTCCAAGAGAGCGGTTTTAGGAAATGGAAGAAACCAAGCCTCCTCTGGCAGGTTCTAAGCGGAAGGACTGAGGAGTGTGGGGTGCCTCTCTCCTGTCACTCACCTGCTGCTGCTGTTTTAACAACTCTGCGATGGGGCATGAACGTTTTTCTCTTTCTGGTTCTCTGCCCTTGCCAGGCTTCCCCGGGGTCCCAGTTTGCTCCCATTGCATGGTCTCTCCCCGCACCGAACACGCACCTCACCCCTTGCATGAGGCTTGGCCTCCTGGCCTCTTTGTCACCCACGTTGATTCTAACTTCTCCATACCCTCTAATCTCTCCCATGCTGCTCTTCATCTTCAAAGACTCACGAATGACTAACCCTCCTTTCAGACCCGGGACGGAACTGCGATGGCTCTTTGGTAGCAGCTCTAGCTGTTAGTGGAAGAGGCTGTCATAAGTTAGCCGGAGACAGGAAAGAAGTGAAGAAATAAAAAGCATTCCCTAGAGATCCGTTTGAGAATCAGCTTCAACGTTATCTGAAAGAGAAAACAGAGAAAGAGTATTCCTTTAGCTGAGACTTTAAAAACGTCGGCCAGGGGCGGGTCCCATGGCGTAGCAGTTAAGTGCGCGCGCTCTGCTGCTGGTGACCCGGGTTCGGATCCCGGGCGCGCACCGAAGCACCGCTTCTCCGGCCATGCTGTGGCGGCGGCCCATATAAAGTGGAGGAAGATGGGCACGGATGTTAGCCCAGGGCCAGTCTTCCTCAGCAAAAAGAGGAGGATTGGCAACAGATGTTAGCTCAGGGCTGAGCTTCCTCACAAAAAGAGAAGAAAAGAAAAACGTCGGCCAGACCACATCACTCTTCTGCTTAAGAAAACCCTCTTAAGGCTCCTGTCTCACTCCAAGTCAAGGTCAAAGGCTGAGAGTGACCTTCAGGTGAACTACCATCTGCCCTGCCCCCCCAGCTTGGCCTGGTCTCCTTCTGCCCTCTGCCTCACTCTCGCCCCCTCAGCTCCAGCTCCCGCCAGCTTCCTGTTCCTCAGACCGGCCAGATGGCTCCCACCACAGGATACTTGCACTTCCTGGAACGTCCTTCCCCCCAGATATCATTGTGGCTCACCTTTTCACCTTTTCCGGTCTTTGCTTAAATGTCACCTTTTCAGTGACGCCTTCCCTGGCTGCCTTATTTAAAAATTGTAAGCTTCTCCCCAACCCCCACCCCAGAGTCTGTCCCCCTTGCCTGCTTTTATCTATAGATTGTACACCAACCGACATACTCTGTATTTATTCATTTATTTGCTATTGTCTATCTACCGTCATTAAACGTAGGTCTGAAACTTTTCTCTATTTTCACTGCTGTACCCGTCGTGCTAAACAGTGCCTGGTGCTCAGGGAATATCTGTTGAATGAGTCAGCGATACTAAATTCTTCTAGGTTGTGAAGAACCTAAATCAATGGGGGATAGTCTATAGAAAGGTCTCATGAGTTCGGGTGACTGGGGAGAAAAACAGCCAATAAGTCGTAACGCACTTACAAATTTGCAGTTGAAGTGGTTCACATATGAGGGCTCTGGACTTTGATCCCATCCTTGGCAAGGGCCCGAGGAGTCATGATGGCTGGTTCCTAGAGAACCTGATCCTGTCGGGTGCTACAGAATCCTACCGACAAGCATAGGAAACAAAGCTGAAAGCATCTCACCCTGGCGTACAGGGACGGCGTTCCTGTGCCTGGATTACTGTATGCAGTTTTGGTCACCAGCTCTCAAGCAAGACAAGCCAGAGCTAGAAAAATCCCAGAGAAGAGCAACTGAAATGTCATCGGGATGGAGGCAAGGATAGAGACGAATTCTTTATTTTTTTCCCTTGACTTCTCATTTTGAACTATTACAAACCCTCGGAAAAGCTGCCGTACAGTGAACACCATGTACCCTTCGCCTAGGTTCACCAGTCGTGAACATTTTGTTCCTTTTGCTTTTCCTCTTTCTATATTTATATCTCTGTATATTTATACATCTCTGTATAACCATGTCTATTTCTGTGTGTGTGTGTATGCTTGCAGGCCCTCTCAGTGGTCAGAGCTAGAAAATATGTATTTTTAAAACATCGTGAGCTAATACTAATAACTCCAGTTCCAGTTGTATATCTCGGGGCTCTTCGTTGCCTTCCTTCATTCCACACTGATATCTCCTTTCTCCCAGAGTGAGAACTCTGGTTCCCAGCAACTTCAATGTATTTACTCATTTGCTCCGCCTGACTACACCAATACCACCATCACCAACAAACGTACTGAGTGGAGATCAACATTTCTTTGCAGTTCTTTTTGTCCTTAGAATATATCCCACTGAGGGTGTGCCGAGTACTGTGTGCAGAAGTCACTCAGATTGTTTTTTCTGTGTGGTTATGCTATCGGTTGATATATGGGTACATTTATTTCTATTTGCATTACATTTTAAGGTTTTTTCCATCTTTGTTGATTGTTTTAAATATGTGAAACATGAACATGGTTTGAAAGCCACTACTGGTTAATAGATGTTCTTAATCTCACACCCTGATGTTCCTAGCCTCCAACCCATTTCCCTTTCCTTGATGGGCAATCAAATGCATTTGTTTCTGGTTTATCTTCTCTGTGTTTCTTTTTGCTCAAATATACATGCATACATAAACATACATGCATATATATTCTTATTACTATTTCTTTCTTCTACAAAGTTGCCATAATATATATTTTATTTTGTGTCTTGCCCTTTTCACTTAACAATGTATCCTATAAATCACCCTGTATCAGTCCATAGATCTCTTCCTTATTTTTTCCAGCTGCACGCTACTTCATCGTTTGTATGTATCATGGTTTATTCATCCATTTTCCTTTGGATAGGTATTTAGGTTGTTTCCAATATTTTGCTATCTCAAATAATTCCTCAATTAATAATCTTATGCTTATGGTTTCTCATATTGTTGGAGATGTATTTTCAGGGTAAATTGCTATGGGCGGGATTGCCAGATCAAGGATTAGTGAATACTGCTAAATTCCCTTACACAGAGCTGTGCTATTTTACACTCTCACCAGTAATATGAGAGTGCCATTTCTCCACGGTCTCATCAACACAAGTGTTGGTGAAGCTTTTGAATTTCCACCAATATGATAGGTGAGACATGGCATCTCAGCATAGTTTTAGTTTACTTTCTTTTATTTTGAGTGAAATTGAGCACAGTTTTATATATTTAAGGGCTATTTGGGCTGATGAACCATCTTGGAGACCCTGTGTGTGATGGTGCAGGCTGAGATTAGGGCTGATGATGGGATGGAGAGGGGATGGTCAGGCTTTTTTGTCTCTTGGCAAGTCTTTCTTCACAACTCTGTCCAGAAGCTCATATGCCACCGCTGGCAGGCGTGCTGCAGATGCCGTAAGCTTTCTTTTCCCAAAATAGAGGGTCAGGATATTGCAATCTCTCCCCACACCAAGTAAGGGCAAGTAAAAAGCCCTAGACCTCTGCCTCAAATGGAGGATTATTTCTGCTAGAGACAACTGCTGGCCTGTAAGCCCTGTGGCCCTCCTCCTCTGATCCCCCTTCATTCTGAACTTCCCACTTGGTCTGTCCTAGGGTCTTCCCCATCCATCCCAGCTCTCCTCTTCCCAGAGACCTTAGCTTGTTTCTGGTTCCTGCTCAGGCATAGGCTCTGTTCTGCAACCCTGCTTTTGGTAATTTTCTCAGTCCCTGGGTGAGATTTGTCTTAGGTTTGATGCTTCTTTCCTCTGGGCTCTGAAGTATCTGGTGACTGGAATCCCAGCCTCACTCTTCTGGCAATTGAGCCCGCCTTCTTGGAGGGCTGTGCTCCAACCCCTTGCTGTTCCCCCACCAGCCACCAGGAGGCAGTAAGCAATAACGGACAAAGCTTCCCAGCTAAAACCTACCCCTGGTCTCCTCCCAAATACACCCTTCTCACTCCAGCGAGATGTAACTCTCAAAGTTCTGTGTGAAATGAAAGAAGTAGTCAAAGGTTCCCCTGTCATTTCTGGCCTGGGAGCTGGGATGGTGGAGGACTTGGGAACAAGACTGTGTTTGAGGAGGGGTTAGAGTCCTGTTTGGGGCATGTTGAGTTGGGAAAGACAGTGGGATGTATCTGAGTGGGGTGAGAAACGGGGACTGGAGCCCAGGTGAGAGGTTTGAGTGCATTTGTGCAGAGATAACAGTTGAA